AAAAATACAGCCACGTCGATGCTCGATGGAATAGCGTCTGATAACGCATCGGTGATATCCAATATCGCCAATCGTATAATTGTTTCTTCTTAATCACCAATCAACAAATAGCCGCTTGAATCATCAAGATATATCCGAAATTGATTGTGACAGTCAGCCGGGACAAGGAGCGTATTTGTACAAGGATAATTCTCGCCCCGCGTTTATCGTTCCTCAGCGATAACTGTCAGACACGTTGCTCGACATACACAACGACAAGTCTATCGGTAACGAAGGATGATATAACGTGGAGTTTTTCTTTTTATCCTAAAGAATAATCGAAAAATCGACTGGAGAAGTCTGGAATGTTCTAACGTTGAAACTATCAAAGTCATTAAAAAGATCAATACGGTTATTTATTGTTATATTGTGAATCTTCTCCAATTCCCAGCACTTTAATTTCTCTGACACAAGTTTTATTGTTCTAATAGGATCTTTAGTTTTTTTTCTTTCTTTTTTTCTCTTTGGTTTCCCCGTATGTTTCACCGAGATCACTCTGAATATTACGCACGTAATGTTACTTCAGTCGGAGTCGAACATTGAACGCAGACTGCATTCAGCCTGATAACAGAAAGCGAAGAAACGCATCATTTAGCGATTATATAACAGTGCGTAGCTATTGGTCCCAAGTACTTCCTTTCCGATTCTTACGTCTCTGCATACGGCAGAACGACGAATAATCGTAGCACCTCTGGTGACAAAACCAAGATATCACTCGACCATTGTAACGTAACAATAATAACCGTGAAGGGAAATGAGCAGAGAACCAGTCCCGTAACGAGTTTATTTTACCAGTTAACATCCACATTCCACGGTGATTATTCTGGTTAACGCCAGGCGACTTTCAAGCCTTCTCTTTCGAACCGAGAAAACGTCGAGCCACGTTGAAACTCGGACAACGCGGAGTACTTTATTTCCGTTGCTGATGCGGCACAATTAAGACGCTACGTAATTTCTGCTTTCACCGGGGCTGAGCTTTCGGAAGATTGGAAAAGATCTTTACCGTTAATCGAAATACGTAGTTCTCTTGTCGTGTGCGTGTGTAAATATATCTTTACGGTGCATGCCACTGGTTAAACCTTTCCCTTTTTTCGTGTCGCGCTGCAACAACGCGAAAGAATGCAAATCTTATCGTTGTTACGTATCTTGCAGATCCATCGAAGTTTTATCGAGAGGACTTTCCCTAAAATTGACGCTGGCAGACCGGTTGCGTGTAAAATGTAACCGTGCATATACTTTCGGCCGATGTAATACGAAGTTGGTAACGCTCTGTTCTGCAATTAATTTCTTTCCGGCTGCATTACGAAACGCTCGTCGTTTCAGTCGGCTACCTCTAGGCATTTCTACGAGGCTACTCTCAGGAATTCTATTCGTTTTTCTCTTTTTTCCCCCCTTGTTTCATTTGTTCCTAACTTCATCCTCATTCCTCCTCTTCCCATAAGATGGAAAACAAGAAAGAAAGAAAAGAAAACACTGGAGCAGTCTCCTAGCTAAAATCGAATATACTACGAATATTCGTATTTTTTTTCTTCTTCTTCTTTAGACTTTAAGTTTATTATTTAAGAAAAAAAAAGTATCAGAAAAGACGGCCTTTTGGATGGGGAATCGTTCCACGACCTAATTCCGCTAGCGCTTCACACGGTGAAGGGAGCCTTTTACCTCGTAAACGAGCGCGGAGACTCCGATCCACCACGAGTATTTTCATCGATTAATTAGACCAATTATTAAGCTTGCAATAAGCAACTGGCTCGCAACGCGTTGTCGAGGTGCAACGCACGGGATTATGCAATTACCACGAGGTCGTCGAAGGTTAATTAACGCGACTGACAATGAGTGTTGGCGCGCGATACTATCGCGAATGTTGACCGATCTACCAGTATTCGAATCTAAACCGAAACCTTTACTTTGCCCGGCATTTTGTCGATGGCGCCCATTTGATTTCGCAACACGATACTTCGTACGCTTCTAGCAATCTTTTTACCGTGGAAATATGAAGATATTAAATTTCTGTTGTCGAGTGTGGCGTGTAATTAAATTTAGCGAACCTCAAGATTTGTGCTTTAACTTTTTCCATTTTTATTTACATATGTAGTTTCTGTAATGTAGGAACATTTATCGTAATAATAAATAAATTTCACATCTACACCGAGAAGATTACAACTGCAACCACAACTCGTTTTTTTCTCTTTCTTTTTTTTTTTTTTGATACCATAGAATCCCAAGCTCGTGGCGCAACGCGTGTAAACGCAGAGCTGAGCCGAGCTGATGTTATGAGGCAAGCAATTTGATACGGCGACATGTCATCAATCGAATTACGCACACCGACGTGAAATTTTACCTTTCCCTGACTGTCGAAGGTAAACGGTCATGCGTAATTGTATACCACTCACAGCTGCGAGATAAATGGATTTGCAGAGGCTTGGCGAGCACACCGCGAAGATCGCGTAGGTGTTAACCGGCTGATTTCATCGGCCGTCTTGTCCTTAGACTAATCTAATTGCTTCGGCGGGGGAGGGGGGGGGCCAGCAGGGGCTTCGCGAGCGCGTGTCTGCCTTTGAAACGATTCTAACGTCAGAGAAATTTTCATAGATATCTGGAAAAACCCGTTTCAATGCCTAGGGAAAGTAAGACGCGTATGTATGCACGTGGTATGAGAAAGAACGCGCTACTTCAGCGACTCTAGAAGGCCTTTCTTTCCAGCCGAGCCAAGGACGATGGAGCTTGACTCGATCGAACGGAAGATACGAAAGTGTCACAGAAATGGTGGTCGTCCAATGCATCGAGGTAAACGCTCGAAAATCGCACTACCATTCTTGTTTCGTGTGAATCGACGATAATTTCGCGATCTGGATGCACGCCCTAGTTTCCAGTTCGTTGAACGGTCCCTCTTTGTACCAAGACAGTACGGTTGTTCCCTCTTTTCCGGAAATGATGTTTCGCGAAAATCCCGTTACGACCATTGCACAAAAATTTCTCGAGGCGAGTAAATTTGTGGGAAATTAATAATATTCGTGGTATATTGCAATAATAATTCGTAGGCGAAGAGCATTTTTCCCAATTCATTATGACACTGTAGAAAAATAGCATTCAGTGCATTATATACGCCTTTCAGGTACATTTACGTTTACACAACCTCAATAATATTTGTTATCTGTTAACGTAAAGAATTTTATCTAAATAAATGAGCATATAAATAAATTGCAGGGTGATGATTGTTGGAAAATTACCGAGAAATTACATTGAAATTGTAGGGTAATTCGGATGATCGTGCTTCCGATCATGTTATCCGATCGGGTTATCTAATACAAGGAAGTTTACCTCGCTACCTTCGATATATGTCGATCGCGATCTTTATTCTTCTACATTTTCAATGAAACATTGGATATGCTCGATTTCACCGGTAGTTGACACTCGACGACGAATTTTTTTCTGAATCAATATTGTATAAATTTGATTACTATATTATATAGTATATAATATAATAGTATACAGTAATAATATTAGTATTATATTATATACTATAAATTATATTATATTATGTTATATACTATAATAATATTATATATATACTTTTTATATATATTATATATACTATATACTATATTATAT